CTTCTGTACTTTTTTTCAGAGCATGTGCTATAATGTGGCATGATTATGGGTGTACTGATCCTAGTTATTATCATGACATCTCCGGTTCCCTTCTGACTCCATATACCTTTAGATTCATACCCTTTTTGTTTTATACTGTTTCTCCACGTTCATTCAGCCAAAGTGTATCACCACCTACTTCCCTATCTTGAACTTCATTTCCCAAGTATCTGCCCACTCCACGAACTTGTCAATGTCCTTTCGTAGCTTATCGCTGTCGTCCTCACAGTTACAATATTTCTAAGACTGGTATTGTCTGCAGCCTTTGAAAATGCCTCCTGCACTCCAAGATCTAGATCATTAATACATCAGGAAGACTGAGGATTTCAATTGTGATCCTTGGAGAACTCCACTACAACTTTTTCTCCGGTCTGAAAAATGCCATTTCGCATTTATTCTGATTCCTAATTCTCAGCCAATTTTATATCAACGAATTAGTGAATCCCCTTCCCAAATCCACTGCCTTGTTTAAAACCTAATTTCTCAGAATATGTGATCTGAGGGAATGATCAATCACAAACTAAATTACTGGTTGTAATTGTTGCTGATATTTTGCTGCATTATGATTAGTGAAACCAAGCAAATCCTTTTTTTAAATTCAGTGCTTCCAGTTTTTCTAAACACAAATGATCAGAATAGAAAATAACATAAAATTAATCAGAATGCTTGATAAAGGGAGAGGTGATACTGTCGACCTAAAGTTATTGTTAATGCAGTGAAATATTATTGTACACTTGCTTTAGGCATTTGCTTGTAATTTATTCCACTGTTTTGGAAAGTGTTAATTTATTTATGTGAAATGCATAAGACCTTTGCTAAAGTAGTGAACAATGAGATTTTGGATAAATGCTTTAAGTACTTGATGTTTATATACTATGGTACATGTTCAGGGCCTGTTTTCAGTTTCAAATTTGTACCTTCAGTTATGAAACCTATCTGGAATGGAACTAAAAATCAAAACTAAAGGAAATAGAAAGGAGTAAAATGAGAACAATAGTAAATAGAATGTGAAAATCAATTACACTGAAAGTAGATGATATACACTGCTGTCATTTTTCCCATTTATGATTTGAGATTAATTTTCTCACGGTTAAAACCGATATTTGTTAAATTTATAATAAAGGGGAGGTCCAGCCATGCAGCTGTGTTACAGATTTGTAGGAGATATTGGGTATGAAGATGCAATTCATAGTTTATAATGGAAACTGTGTTGTGTAAATTTCTTACAACAATTACATTTATTTGGCATTGTGGCACAGTAGCACTTTTTTTCTTTTGTGGGATGTGAATGTAGTCGGCAAAACCAGTATTTCTTGTCCATCGCCAGTTACCCTTTGAGGTGGTAGTGAACCACCTTCTTGAACCACCTAATGTGAGTTCTCCAATAGTGCTATTAGAAAGGAAGCTGCAGGATTTTGATCAGCAGCAATGAAAGAACGTTCGATGCTGTTCTAAGTTAAGATGGTGTGTGGCTTGGTAAGAAACCTGTTGTATGGAAACACCACGAACATCGGCTGAGGTTGTAGGTCTGGAAGAAACTTGGTGACTTCCTGCAGTGCATATTGTATATAGTAGACATCGCTACCAGTGTGCTTCAGTATTGGAGGGAATGAATGTTTTAAGATGGTAGATGGGGCAATCAAGCAGACTATTTTGTCCTAGATGGTGTCAAGATTCTTGAGTGTTATGGGAGCTGCACTCATCTAGGCAAGTGGAGATTATTTCATGGTACTCCTGACTTGTGCATTGTATATGGTGGACAAATTTGGGGGAACCAGGAGGTGAGATACTCACCTTCAAATTTCAAGTTTATGACCTGCTCTTGTACTTTAGAGTATATTCAGTATTTATATGGTTGGTCCAGTTCAATTTTGTTTTGTCACTGGTAACCCCCAGGATGTTGACAGTGATGGTAGCACCATTGAATGTCAAAGGGAGATGGTTAAATATTATATTGTTGGAGCTGGTCATTGCCTAGCGCTTGTTCTTGCCACTTATCAATCAAAGCCTAGTTGTTGTGTGGTACTTGCTACATGTGGACACGTGTAGCATGAAGATTACTTAAGGTGGAGCATGTAACTAACATTACAAGCCTGCAGAACTGTACATTTAAATGTGTAATGAAAAAGCTGGCATGAAGTGTGCACATAAGGACAATAAAGAATAAATCAATTACAAGTGGACTTAGGAGCATCATGTTATGGCCTTTTAAAAGTGATCTCACTGATTAGAAATTGAAGTGCAACTGTCCATTTATTGATTCATAAAGGTTATGAATTGATGCAGCCTTCACGTTTGACACTGTTCTTGCAGACTGCACTGAGCAAGTCCAATGGCCACTTTGTATCTTCTCATCATAACTTATTATGTCGTGCCAAAGCAAGTTAAATCCTAGACCTGGGATAACTGCTTTTCTTCATGGTTAAGAAAGTTTAGACAAACAATAGGAGTGCTTGAGCATACAGGCAGAATCTGGGATCAAGCAGCAAAATGGATGTGGCAAAAAGAAGATGTAGGTGCTAAAAAAGGAGTAATGAATATTAAAAAGACAGATTTAGTCTCATGAATGATATACCTCTGCCAACTGCTAGGACAAGGGTCAGAATTAATAAGTTAATGAATAAGCTTTATTCATGACATTGAAGTTCAACATCTAGAAGGTCAAATTGCACAATGATGCAAACAGCTTAACATTATTTCTTCCAACATGCTGAAGGCAAGACAGCTGTCACATTGAAGAGGAAAAAGAATTGAAACATATTGGACAGCATTAACCAGACATTGTAATGACTATGTGTTCAGATATCCAGGGCTGAGTTCTTGTTGTGAGTTGCAGAAATGTTACTAAAACTCAATCTCAGTTGGGTAATGTCAGGAGGAATTTGGCAACTCCATTGTCTGCTTGTGGTAATTTGGACTGCTCACCAGCTACTTTTGGGAGGTTCTATTATTTGATGTGTGCATAGTGCAGGCTCAAATCTGTATTTGCCATTGACCTAAGAATCAGCAGGGACTTCCATTTTTGAGGGGATCACATCATCTACAAGATGACGGACCTTGCAACGGAAATTCAGAACTAAGTCAATCCTCCATGGTATAATTGATAATACAGTAACTAAGCCATGTAGTTTCATGGTATTTCCAAGGCATTGCTACTTGTTGAACAGCTTGCCTATCTCTGTAAAAACTGAATACCTAGATTTGTCACCGAGGACTGGTATTATTCCCACTTGGTTGCAGATCATCCTGCATGTCAGAACCGCAAGTGGTGGTGGGTTCCTTTCTGGAAAAATGAATGAGAGACTTTTGAATAGTTGCTGTGGTGAGTGACACAATTTTAGCTGTTTAAATTGACAGCACCATCTTGGAACCCACTTGGGACTTTCTTAGGACAGTATCTTAGCCCTGTTAACTTGCTTTTAAACTCTTTGAACTCGTGTTGGTGAGATGTTGTTCAACATTTTGGACAAAAATAAATCAAGCTGTTGATTTCTCATCACTTTATTTACAAATTCTTGAGCATAATGACAGGATTCCACAGGGCTTGACACCCAGTTGACTCTTTCATTTTTTAAAAAAAGGGGAAATGTAAGTTGTAGAAAAGTCCTATAAAACCAAGTTTTTAAGAAAAAAACACACATTTATAGTAATTTCCCAATCCCGTCTTGCATTTGCTTTGCCAAGTATCAGTGCCACATATTTATTAGTAGTTGATGCGTATAAAGAAGCTGAATGTTTTGTCTGTGTTTTTTCTTCATAGAGTTGCTGAAGGTGGACACTTCTTTCAGAGAGCGTTACTGGCTAATGCCCTGACGAGTGCTTGCAGGCTTCATCAGAGGCTACCCAGATTCCGGTTCAGCAGAGCCTATGTTACACAGGCACTCTTGGAGGACAGCTGCCACTACCTGCTGTACTCACTCATCTTTATTACATCCCATCCCATTACCTGTATCCTTCACTGTGTTTTATTGTGTAAACTCAATCATTTTTATGACTGTAATCAGATCTTGTGACAAGATTTACTGCATTTAAAAAAGAAAAGTCTAGGGATAAGATCTTGCCAAGGGGAATAGCCTTTGGTTGCTATTTCTCTTTCTCTCCGCCTACCTGATTATTTCCAATAAATTTATATAGTGTAATCCAGAAGGCTTAACTGACAAGTCACCCAAGTATCTTACAATGGCTACACTTTCAGTGAAATATGTGGCAATAGAGATATAACAACTTTTTGGAATTATCTGTTCCCTATTGATATTGGAAAATGGCAGTAAATGAAGGAATCTGCTATGTTTTTAGTTATTAGTTTTTCCATCATGTACAGAGCATTTTTTTAAGAGATTTAGGTTATTCAATAATTGAACTCTTAATCTTCCTTGATGCAGCCTTAGTTGACAATTACGCCAATTGATATTCTATTTTTCACACTGTTCCTTTCTATCAGTCCACTAAGCTATTTGCTTTTTTTAGTCAAGACTTGAAAAGCAACCTTCCAACAATGAATAGGAATAGTGGGAAAAGATGACTGTTGCTATACATGTGATTTAAGAAAAAATTATATGGTGAAATTTACAATTGTGTGTTGCTTATGATAGGACTAGCATGTATCCATCACAATTGTAGTCACAGCTCATCTACGACTGAAACCCTCATCCATGCCTTTTTACACTACTAGACTTGACAATACCAACTCATGCCTAGCTGGTCTCCCAAATTCTACTTCCCACAAACATAAAGTCCAAAATTGTACTGCATGAATCTTGACACTCAAAAGTTCCCTATGCTTGTTTAACTATATTGTTGCTTTACCTAAACAGGAGCCAATTTTAAATTATTGTTTTCAAACCACTTTGTTCCCCTCCCTGTCTCTGTTACCTTCAGTACCACAGGTGTCCAAGATAGCTACGCTGAGCTCATTCCGACTTCTTGAGCATCCCTGGTTTTAATTCTGTGACCATTGGTAGCCATGTCTTAAGTTGCTAAATCTCCATGTTCTGGAATTCCCACCCCAAACTCCTGTGTCTCACTACCCCTCTTCCCTCCTGAGATCTTAGCTCTTGGCTGAACTTTTGATTATCTGCCTAAATATCTACTTATGTAACTTGTATTGCTCTAAATGCACTCTGAAATGGAGCCAAGTTTAGAAACAAGCAACATAGATAAGTGGATGTGGAAAACTTACAACAACCTGGATTTGTTATGTTCCCACAAGAAATTCTTGTGTTGTGATCCGAAAAGAAGAGGCCATTTTAAACATAGTTCTGTCTTAATAGATCATCGTTAAAACCAAGATCCACATCACAGGAAAATAACTGGTATTGCCAATAATTACTTGTGTCACATTATAGTTCTTCCCACAATCAATCTACCGAGTTAAATCAAAGAAAATATACACTTGAAAACTGGTCAGTTTAGTAATCTCAAGATGGTTTGTGTTTTATTTGAATCTAACTGGTTGAATCTAACTTTGAGTGACTCAAAGAGATGAGTTAAGAGAAAGATTAACTGTTCTAAAGTGGAAATAAAACAGAGCATGCTGGAGAAACATAGCAAGTCTAGCAGCAGTTCTGAAGAAGTGTTCTTAGTCAGAGTTTTTAAACTCAGTTTCTCAGTTCACAGATGCTGCCAGGTCTGCTGAACCTCTCCAGTGCTCTGTTTTATTTCAGATTTCTAACCTCTGCAGTATTTTGCTTTTTGCTTGTATGTGTGTGAGAGAGAGAGATTGTACTACTGTTTTCTGAAAGCTCAGGTGTCACGATTTTATGTGAATAATTTACTCACATTTTCTAATTTCTGCCTATCAGCCTGAAACCAATGAAGAAAGAGAAGACAGTGAGTTGTTCTCAGTAGAAAAAAAAACAGATATCAGGAGCAGATTTCAATAAAGAACCACAAGTAAGGGATACAGGCAGAGGAAACAAGAAAGCATGAAAATAAGTATTCGTGATAGGCTGAAAAATGCAGTCAAATGATGATGAGGAATAAGGAAGCAGGAGAGGTAAGGAACACTTGCATACAAACATGATAGGATTGCAGTCTCTGATAGTACAAAAGTTAATGCAATTATATTGCAGTCCGGAGGTGTGTGTGAAAGCAAGTAGGAACCCACCAAATTTGATCAAGACAAATTCTCTATTTTTAGTAGAACCATCTGATTTATGCAGAGGGTAACCTGAAGTTGTGGACTGATCTCAACTAATATCTGCAAAAGAGCAACCTTGGTCATAGGCAAGCATTCTCCTGAAAGCACACACCCCCACACCGAATACTTGCCATATTCTTCTTATGTTTCAGCCTTAAAAGAACTGACTTCCCCAGTTTAAAAGTGAAGTGTTTAAAATTCTCTGCAATTAGGTGGAGCAGTTTTTTTTTTGTTTAAGCTTTGATTTGGGCAGATGGTGATTAGACTGAAAATGACATAACCTACCAATGAGTATCTCCTGGAGATTGCTTCGCACTGGTTCCTTAAACTGGGTTTACATACATACATATGATTTTGGAGCAGAGTTAAGCCATTTACAGTAAGATCATGGTCTCAATTCCATTTTCCTGCCTACAACGATAACCTTTGACTTATTGATGGTCAGGAATCTATCTACCTTTGCCTTTAAATCGACAATGACCCTGTCTCCACTCATTTCTAGAAAGAGTTTCAAAGACACTCAACTCTCCGAGAAGAGAAAATTCGCCTTGTATTCACCTTAAATAGGAGACCCCTTATTTTTAAACTGCATCCCCTAATTCTAGGAGCAAATTACTGCAGATGCTGGAATCTGGACAGAAAACAATAAATTTTGGAGATCACAGTGGGTCAGACAGTATCCATGGAGAGAGAGTAAGCTAACGTCTTGGATCTAAATGACTCTTCTTCTGAGCCCTGAGACTTCATCACATTAGAGTCCCCTAATTCTAGTCTGTGCCATGCAAAGATGTGTCCTTTTAGCATCCACTCTGCCCACACGGGATCTTGCACATTTCTACAAGGTCGCCTTTCATTTTCTAACCTCCAAAGGTAAATGCCCAGCTCATTCAACTCTTTTCCCCCTATAAAATTAAAGAGATGATGGTGTGCTTGTAAAATGCATGAGTACCATTTTTTAACAAAAAAGCCATCACCAGCAGTTTTCTGGCTAAAATTCTACATCAATCCAGGTCTTGTTCATGCATTTTGCCAACTTGTATGTTTTGAGAAAGATAGTAGGAACTGCAGATGCTGGAGAATCCGAGACAACAAGGTGCAGGGCAGGATGAACACAGCAGGCCAAGCAGCATCATAGGAGCAGAAAGGCTGACGTTTTGGGCCTAGACCCTTCATCAGAAAAGGGGGAGGGGAAGGGGGTTCTGAAATAAATAGGGAGAGAGGGGGAGGCGGATAGAAGATGGATAGAGGAGAAGATAGGTGGAGAGGAAACAAACAGGTCGAAGAGGCGGGGATGGAGCCAGTAAAGGTGAGTGTAAGTGGGGAGTTAGGGAGGGGATAGGTCAGTCCAGGGAGGACGGACAGGTCAAGGGGGCGGGATGAGGTTAGTCGGTAGGAGATGGGGGTGCGGCTTGAGGTGGGAGGAGGGGATAGGTGGGAGGAAGAACAGGTTAGGGAGGCGGGGACGAGCTGGACTGGTTTTGGGATGCGGTAGGGGGAGGGGAGAGTTTGAAGCTTGTGAATTGTTTCTTGTCACTACCCTTGATATCCTACGACAGGCCTATGCCAGCCTTTTACAGCAAAAAGCTAAATCTGTGTGGCTCAAATCTACGGTAAAACACAACAGAATTTTAATGCTCACACACGCACATGCACACGTGATCCAAACCCTTCTCCCTGTCAAGAGACCTTGCCCCTCCCTTTGTTAACAATCAGGATTCCTTGTGCTAAAGCTTGATGTTTCCCATACAAAAAAACCCTAGTATATTGTGGCTGAGGCTCGAGGAGCAATCCATTACTCCCTTCAGTCACATCATAACTGGGAAAATACATGTGTTTTACCAAGTTAACCAAGTAAATATTATAGCTGTATCAGACTTAAACAAGAAGATCTATCAACTAGGTTTCGGAATAGATGTAATTAAGTTTGTTTTCAAAACATAACTTATTCAACAAATATGCAGTAATTGATGAATATATACAGTCAATAGGATAGAAGTATAAATGCTTATCCCCCATTTCCCCAAAACACAGTTGCAAACATGTGTACACACTCTTCAGGAAATGAGGAAAATAACAGATTTCTCTGCAGGTATTGGAAAAACAAGACCACTTTGGCCAGTGTGTTATTCTTGAAGGCCAAAGCATAAAGTGGAGAATGTTTCAGAGTTTGTTCAGGCATGTATGGGTGTGTCACTAATCACACGCTAGTCTCTGAAGATTTGCAAATACCATTGCTCAGGAAATAGAATCAGTCTCAATAAACATTTCACCCTTGATTTACCAAGAGAGTTTTTTACTCAGAAATGAGAAACCAACTGGGCAACTTGTTCTTAGGATTTCCTCCAACTTAACCTTGTTCTTAGACTTCCCTCTAACTCAGTTAGATAAAACAAGAACCTTTCCAAAACAAGTACGGTTCAAAATAGCTCCAACAGATATCATCACCAAAGCAAACAGTTTACGAAGGAAGCTTTTTATTTGAAAAGGTGCTACTTCTACAATGAACATTTGATATATTTTTTTAAAGAAACCACTGCCAAGTAGTTCCACAAACCTGAAATAAATCAGTTTTCTGCAACACTTGAAAACTAAGTTCTCAAAGCAGTATTAAATATAAAGCATCTTCAATAACACCACCTACTTGAAATTATAATGAATTAAAACAATTGCCCTAGTTATTGCAGAAAGAGTGCAGGGAGAAGCATGTTAGGGTGGGAGAAGCCTGTCAAAGCCAGAGATGCAAAGAACCTGTAATATTAACAACATGGCCTTGTTTATTAAATCTTCTGCAAATGCAAGCCTGGCAACTGCCTCAATTGGCAGCTGGGGAGGGCGTTGAATTGGGTTGTTGGGTGGCACAATTGAGTGTCAGCCAACTACGACTTGTAAAGGGTTCAGACTGTACATTATCCTTTGGAGAATCAGGGGTTTTGATAAAAGCTGCAAATGGAATGTGTTCATTGCTCTCAAAACCTTTGGGTTTAGGAGGGAAAAATCCAGCTACTTCATTCTGTAATCCCTCCTGCAAATAAGACTTGTATATTGTTGGAAGACATGATGGACTCCTCTGTGAGAGAGCTTGTCAATGTTCATTTGACTGCTCCTAACCATAAACTAATCAAGTACCTTATACCTTTATTTAGAAAGCTAAGGATTCTGTATGCCTTGTTAAACATTTTCTCAACCTGCCTATCACCAATAATGTGTGCACATACACTGTCAAGTCTTTCTGTTCTGAATCCGTTTTAGAATTATATCTTCTATTTTAAAACGCCTCTCCTCCTCCTTCATGCCAGAAATCATCACTTTACACTTCTCTAAGTTACATGTCATCTGTCAGATGTCCACCTATTCCATCAGCCTATGTTCATCCTCTTAAAATCTATCATTGTTATCCTCACATTTCAAAGTACTTCCAAGTTTCATCATAGGAAGACTTTAGAATTATGTACTGTACGCCCAAGTCTAGGTCATTATATCGTCAAAAAAGGCAGTGGTACTTGTACTGGTCACTGATCTAACCTCAAAGTATACATTCCTCCAGTGCAAAAAGTAGTGTTTTACCACGACTAATTCCTATTGCTTGGTCAACTTTGTATGCATGTTGCCATGATCCCTTTAATTTCACAGATTTCAACTTTTCTGGCAAGCCTGATTATCGCACTTTGCCATCATCAGCTCTAACATCATTGAAAAACTTAAATTAGTTAAACACTATGCGTTTAACAAATTTATGCTAGCTATCATTAATTAATCCACACTTATCCAAGGAACAGGTAATCTTGTCCCAAATTAACATTTCTAGGACCTTCTAAAGTGATTGTTTCCTTTCCCTTCGACTTATGCTAGTGCTTGCTGAGTAATGAGGTGGAGTTTTTTCCCACCTTAGAGGAGGCATTGGGGGTGGCACAGTGGTTAGCACTGCTGCCTCACAGCGCCAGGGACCCGGGTTTGATTCCAGCCTCGGTCGACTGTCTGTGTGGAGTTTGCACATTCTCCCCGTGTCTGCGTGGGTCCCCTCCGGGTGCTCCGGTTTCCTCCCACAGTCCAAAGATATGCAGGTTAGGTGGATTGGCCATGCTAAATTGCCCATAGTGTTCAGGGAGGTGTGGGTTATGGGGGGATGGGTCTGGGTGGGATGCTCTGAGGTTCAGTGTGGACTTGTTGGGCCGAAGGGCCTGTTTCCACACTGTAGGGATTCTATGAGGACAAATAATCAGGTGAATTGATATAGCTGAGCTACCTGTTCCCTTCTCAATCCCTCAGCAATTAGGTTCTGGGTATGGAAGATCTGTGGGCAACCTTCCCAAACCATCAACAGTTACGTCAACTTGCCATCAGTCTGATTGAAAGTAAAAGTCACCATAGTCCCAGACCATCAGTTGTTGGTTAGTTAGAGAGACGTCACTGTTGCTGAGTTTAACCTGAGGATCACCATGTCTCAGAGAAGGGATAAGGCTGAGTTGGCCCTCCTTAATTTTTATCTCCAGCATTACAAGAATTGACCCCTGAAATCATTCTGCTTCTCACACCAGCTGTTTAGCCAACTGAACTAACTGACATGTTTTACACTACCTGGCTTCTTACGCAGCCTGCCCATTAGACTGTGGGAAGTGGGCTCTTTTTGTCCCAACTAGGGGAATTTCGGAGCATATATAGTAGAGTACGGGTGTCCCCTGAAAGTCACCACTGTGCCCTTACCTCTGAGCCCCCACTCTCCCTGCAACCCCTTACCTGTGGTAGTGCAGAAAAATTCCACTCGAAATATCCTTGTGTTTGCAACCCTTTATGACTGTGTGCAGCCTGAGCTTCCAGCAATGATATCCAGCTTTCAGATGCTGTCAACCTCTGGCTGTCAGCTTCTGGTTTTGAAGTGCCTGACGGGCTGAGATGCCTGCCAGTCAGCTGATGGTGTCTAAATCCAGCAGATATTCTCTCTGATGGGTGCCAGGATAAACAGCACCAAAAGTGCCTGCCTGCATGCTTATGTGGACAGCATTAAATATCAACTACGTTTTCACATGAGTTGGCCATAATTTTTTGTTTCATAATGTGGACTATTTCGCAATTCAAGCTTGTTTTGGTTCTTAAATGGCTATCTGTGATTAGTTAAGAATGAAAAACTGCTACACTCAAAGGATGTCAGGAAAACATTTCTACTCCTACCAGTTTGGCATTCTCCCACAAACTGCAATTGCTGCTCCGGTTCAGTTTTCAATGTGGGATGGATAGATGTTAATCAAAGTGTTAATCAAAACATTAATGTATGAGGTTAGGTCACAGAGACCTCATTGAAAGGTGGGATAGGATCATGTGACTAAATGGCGTACTCTTGTCCCTTTGGCCTAGAAGGTTGCCAAGTCCTGTGAAACTATAACTGTAAGAATTGGCTGCAACAGAAAGGAGAAAATTAGAGGCAAGCGAAAAACATTGCTTCACCTTTGTCTTTGTTACCACAAAATTATAATAGGGATTCATGTCTTAAAATGAAGACAAACACTTCTGATTGGGACAAATGGATAGCAGTGGTTATAAGCTGCACAATTTTTAAAGTTCACTCATCCACAAACAAAATGTCTTGTTGCATATATGAACATTTCTTTGATTTGAAAGTAGTCTTTTAAGAATCTATATATAATATACAGCTTTTTCAGTAGGTTTGGATTTAGATTCGATGGGTTTGGCAGGATGCAGATAGAGGTTAAGTAAGGCGTTTTAGAGAATTCGATTAGTGTCAGCTGTACTTATTGTGAACGTCAATTAAATAACTGCCTCAAACATAATTGGCAATCAATTTGGCTGCTTCATGAATGTCGACCAACAAATTGCAAGTCAGAGTACTGTTTGTTCCGGGACAATAGTATCTCAAGTAAATGAGCTCAACAGAAATGAAATGGTAGGGGTCAAATGACATGGACCCTTTTATAAGATTTCTTTGACTTGTGTTTCTAAAACTTTTCCTTATCTAGATTTACGCAGTATGTTTGGTACCAGTGGCAGTATTTTCTCTGCTTCATGCAACAGCTTACACCAGGAAAGTCTTAGATGTAAGTTTTCTTTTTAAGTTTTCATGTGCACATTCTTATAACTGAATATTGCTGAATACACAACTTTGCATATTTAGATTTTGTTTTGTTCCCCTAATACATAATTTAGTTAACACATTATACAGTTGTAGGAGTTTTTGACTGTTTACAAGTAGTCATACAGTTGCTAAGTTTAAGATTAAATTATTTATCCTGTCTGAGTACTTATAGTGTCTTATTCATTTCCAGGATGTGAGTACAGTCATTAAGGCTAATATTTGTTGCCTTTTCCTGATTTCACTTGAGAGAATGATGGTGAACCACTTTCTTGAACCACTGTATTCAGTGGTTTGATATAACAGATTAACTTGTTCGGCCCCTTTTTAAAAAGCAATTATAAGTCAACCACATTTATAGGATAGGAGCCGCATATTAGGAAGACAGGGGAAACATGAAAGGTTTACTTTCCAAAGGAAATTATTGTGCAAGTTGGGATTTTGTATTCCTTTGACAGCTTTTATTGATCTCAACTTTTTTTCCAGATTTTGGAAAATAAAATTAAACAAAATTCAAGCACTCATTGCCATGATGGCAATAGTATTCATGTTCTCTGGATTGTGGGAAACAGGACATCATGGTTTTGAGCAGACTTGCAGTTTTATTGACATAAACTTTCATGTCAGGGCAATGCATACAGCGCTAGCTATCAGAGTAAATTTGATGCTTAAAAGGATTATTGTATACATAGATATATGTAGTATTATGTCCTTGGGTTTTGTTTTAAAAAAAAATTACTTGCACCTGGATTATTTTAAAATTACATGTTTTTTGCTTTACCTTCATGGTGGCCCAGATGTATTAGTAACATTTGCTATGGGCAACTGTCATCAGGATAGCTAATTATCATATCTTCTAATTGAGTAATAAGTGCTCCTACGAGAGATCTGCTAGCAATATATTAAAAGCATTGCATGGCTTATGTGGCCTAAAAGTGTTGCACTTGCTTCCTGTTTCAATTACCTTCACTCTTATTAACTCAACTATTGTTACCCAACTCTAAGAAATCACTAAATTAAAAATGGTTGCCATTTTTATTCCTTAAAGTTTTGTTTTCAGACTTCTTTAGGAATTATTATTTGGCAAAAGTTCTGAAGAAGGGTCACTGGACCTGAAATGTTGACTCTGCATTCTCTCCATAGATGCTGCCAGGCCTGCTGAGTTTCTCCAGCAATTCCTGTTTTTGTGTCTAGGAAAAAAAACCTAACTCAATCTGCAATAAAATCACTGATCTCTTGTTTTTGCTTAACAAAAAGCTTTGTTCCCAAGACCAGAAACTAGAGATTTATAAGGGGCTACATTTGCTCTCTAATTAACTTCACAATTTTACAAAAGGCTTTAATTAGGACATGTGCCAACGAGATTGCTTGAGCAGTGTTCTTAAAGGAATATGCCAGGGTAAATACAGTTCTGTTGTTTAGCATCACAATCACATTCACAGTACCTGTGAGTAGTGCCTCGAGATCAATAACACAAACAAGTAACCAGAATGAGTTCTTCAAGAAAAAGGTTGTAAATTTTGAGGATGGAATGGGTAAGTTGACACCAACAAAGCAATAATAAGTTGCACTTGATTTTTGCTGTTTTTTTTTTTTTGCTTATAGATTACCTTAAGATTTTAAACAAGAAACAAGCTGACCTTACACTTTGAGTATGGTGATACTTCATCAGAACTATAGACAGCAGCTTTTCCCCATTGTAGGGAAGTCTAAAACTAGAGGGCATAGGTTTAAGGTGAGAAGGGAGAGATACTAAAAAGTCCAGAGGAGCAGTTTTTTTCACACCGGTGGTAAGTGTCTGGAATGGGCTGCCAGAGGTAGTAGTGGAAGACAGTACAATTTTTCTCATTCAAGAGACATTTAGACAGGTTAAGTATAGAGAGATCTGGACCAAATGCAGGCAAATGAGACGAGTTTAATTGTGAAAACTAGGCAGCATGGGCAAGTTGGGCTGAAGGGTCTGTTTCCATGCTGTAGACCTCAATGATAACTGATAGTAGCTAGGAACAAGTGTTGAAGGTGTATTGAGGATGGTGGCTGGTGGTTTGAGGTCAGAGGAGTTGGAGGTGAGCATATAATTGGAGGCGAAGCCCAGAGACAGAGAGGGATATGAAAGGAGTAGGCAAACAAGGGCATTATTGATTGTAGGTCAGGGCAAAAGCTGAATAAGTGATAATGGGTTTAGGAGAGAATGGTTAGGCTGTGCAGAAAGCAACCTAGGTAATGTGATAATAAGCCTGGGAGTGGGTGAGAATGTGTTGGCTGTGCTAAAAACAACCCATATCGTGACAGGACTGGGTGCAGGTAAAATCTACTTTGTGAGATGAAATCCAGACTGGCTGAGCATTTTGCAGAACACCTACATTATGTTTGTGAAAATGGTCCCAAGCTTCCAATTGCCAGCACACCACCGTGTTCCCACGCCAGCATTTCTGTCGTAGGCCTGCTACAGTGTTCCAGTGAGCCCCGGCACAAGCTCTAAGTACAACATCTCATTTTCTGCTTGGGGGCCCTGCAGCCTCTAGGACTCAACATTGAGTTCAATAACCTTTAGAGCCTGATACTGTCCTTCGAATACCGGCCCCGACACCTGGTCCTGTTACAACATGGTTTGCTTTCAGCATGGCCAACCCGTTCTTTCCTAATCTCAGCTCTCATTATCACTTATTCAGTTTTTCTTCTGTCCTGACCTTCTATCAATAATCTCCTCATTTGCCTACCCTTTTCACATCTATCTCTCTCACTTTCTCCCTTCTCTCTCTCTCGACTTCATTTCCACCTGTTCATCTCTTTTTACCCATTCACTTCATTCTTCTTAACAATTTTATCCTTCCATCTACATTGCTTATGATGCAACAATCTGTGTGTCATCAACATATTTTTAATTTGAGCCCTTCTGTGCCATTAATTGTTACTGGTAGGTGAAAAGGTACGAATACTTCATTTGCTCAATTTAAATAAATATGTCAGGAAATAAATTAATATAGTGTTTGAACCAATCAAAGTATGCCCATGCCACTGTTAGAACAGGATTATACTCATCACGTCACAGGCCTTTGAAAAGTCCTGTTTGCTTTTAAACTGTTGTCTGTTTGCAGTATCATAAGTGGTTGACTCATGTGAATAGTTTTAAAAATGCCACACTTGGCAACTCTTTCTCTGTGGGTGTATAAATGTTTGTCATGTCGCCATGTTCCAGATTGACAGCAGAAGGTGATTTTTATTTGCCACAACAGTCAAGGACAATTTACAGATCAGTAATTTTGAAGAAAAGACTTGTTGATCTCAGCACACTCTTATTATAGCAATAGGTACAACAAGATAGATTCAGTTGTCACCTTGATAAATTGCAGCCCTACATCTGTATTCCACCGAATAAATAAAACGGCAGTATATCTCTTTTGTTCAGTATTGTTCAGATGCTTAACAAATGTATATGGTTTGTCAATGCAGTCGCTGGGAAGTGACAACTTTAGACTTGATGTATGATTTAATAACTCAGTCAGGTTTGTCCTTCAGTAGAAATTGATTTATTCATTAGCAAATCCTGGTGCACATGTTTGTAAAATAAAATTCAAAGCCTTTCAATTTTTCAATGTAGTGATATGATTTTTAATACAATGGGATTCCTCTGATTAAATGTTAAGCTTGCAATACAGTTTTCACTACAGGTCTGTTCATGAGATCTGCAGTTACTACAACAATTTTTAAGAATCCCAAGTTTAAGAGTTTAGCCATTTTGAATAAGCTGCGTATCAAAATACATAATTTATCCTAAATGCATTACTTTGAAATTTGCTTCCTGGGTAAGAATTATGAAATGCTTGTTTAACCTTTTTTGACATTGAAGGTAATAGTGTCTTGCAAGATTGCAGTACTGGAAGATGGCTGCATGATCAGACATGCCATCCTTTGGTTAAAATGCTGCATGAAACATTTTTTTAAATGGTTGATTTTGAGGAAGGAAGCTGGCCAACACTTATCCTTCAACCAATATCACCAAAAATGTGATATAGTCACTGGCTCAGTGCTGTCTGAAAAACCCTATTTACTGCATCATAGCATCGTGACGCTTTTAAGGATTTTGCTCTTCACTTGAAGTATACTAAGGAGATTTTACTAAGGGGAAGGTTAGATTACAATGTTTTTGTTTCAAGTGATTTGCCTGTCCTATTTTCTGCCTACTTATTATTCTAACAATATGAGGGATATTTCACTATCTGGATTGTTTAACTCTCTTGGCTTCAATTATCTATAATTTGGGCATGTTAACTTACACAAACAACTGGTTTGCATCAGCATCATCTGCATCGTGTTCTTGTAGCTTTTCACAGTTTATGAATTAATTATTCCTTTCAGAACACCAGCCATGTTATTTATTTGTGCTCTAATCCAACCATTATCCAACTTCCAGTCATGCCTTCCACCGCATACTTATCATTTTTGAATGCACGTGAATAGGGGAATTCTTTCACAGCTCCATCCTCCATATTAGTCTCATTTCTCTTCAGTGGTACTCATAAATACAGCGAGAAATTTCACTATGCGAGACAGTCGTAACTGAAGAATCTCACTTTGCATGTTTGCCTAAATCTTTTGGAGAAACCAAAAATTCCACGTTCCCATAATGGCATCTGGCTGCCTCAAAAGCAAAGACAAAATCTCCAACTTTACTCGAGACCACCAGATACAATGACACAAACACTTTAAGGATATATCATTTTTCTGAAGAAATATTTTTAATCCAAATATCTCATACCTTTTTAAAAACATTCATTCAGGTATCACTGGCTGGGCATGTTATTATTTCCTCAATTAACCTTTCATATCCCTGCATATTTTATGTACCTCTGTAAGGTTGCTTTGCATTTTAACCTTTCAAAGGCTAAAAGGGATGGATTTTTCTGAAATTTATTTTATAACTCGGTTTGATGATAGGAATCAGCCCTTTCTTTTCTTCTTTTA